GAAAGAATTAGAGGAAAAAGATCAAGGATGAAAATATGGAAAAGAAGAAAAAGAGAATAACAATATTGAAAGAAAGAAAGAAAGAAAGAAAGAAAGAAAGAAAGAAAGAAAAAAAAAAAAAAGAAAGAAATTAGAAAAAAAAGATCAAGGATGAAAATATGGAAAAGAAGAAAAAAAGAGAATAACAATATTGAAAGAAAGAAAAAAGAAAGAAAGAAAGAATTAGAGGAAAAAGATCAAGGATGATGGAAAAGAAAATAACAATGGAAAGAAAAGAAAGAAAGAGAAGAAAGAAAAAAAAAAAAAGAAAGAAAGAAAGAAAGAGGAAAAAGATCAAGGATGAAAATATGGAAAAGAAAAAAGAGAAAACAATATTGAAAAAGAAAGAAAGAAAGAAAGAAAAAAGAAAGAAAGAAAAAAGAATTAGAGGAAAAAGATCAAGGATGAAAATATGGAAAAGAAGAAAAAGAGAATAACAATATTGAAGAAAAAGAAAGAAAAGAAAGAAAGAAAGAAAAAAAAAAAGAAAAAAAAAATTAGAGGAAAAAGATCAAGGATGAAAATATGGAAAAGAAGAAAAAAAAGAGAATAACAATATTGAAAGAAAGAAAGAAAGAAAGAAAAAGAAAGAAAGAAAAATTAAAGAAAAAGATCAAGGATGAAAATATGGAAAAGAAGAAAAAGAATAACAATATTGAAAGAATGAAAAAAGAAATGGAAAGAAAAGAAAGAAAGAAAGAAAGAAAATTAGAGGAAAAAAATCAAGGATGAAAAATATGGAAAAAGAAGAAAAAGAGAATAAAATTGAAAGAAATAAATAAATAAATAAAGAAAGAAAGAAAGAATTAGAGGGAAAAGATCAAGGATGAAAATATGGAAAAGAAGAAAAAGAGAATAACAAATTGAAAGAAAAGAAAGAAAAAAGAAAGAAAGAAAGAAAGAATTAGAGAAAAAAAGATCAAGGATGAAAAATGGAAAAGAAAAAAGAGAATAACAATATTGAAAGTGAAAGAAAGAAAGAAAAAGAAAGAAAAAAAAGAAAGAAAGAAAAAAGAAAGAAAAAATGCAGTGAAAAGTGTAAGAATAAAAATATAGAAAAGAAAAAGAATAGGGTTATTGAAAAAAAAAATGAAAGACACGGAAATTATCTGTTTCTTTCTGTGTCGTCTCAGGATCCCCGCGCTATTAATAAAAAACGGTATCAACGAAAAGGGTCATTTACATCTGTCATTCGCTTTATTAACCCTGGCAGCTTGCATTCTAAAAGCAGTAGCTGGGCTGTCAGGAATGCATGCCGCACGTTGGCTCAGCATCTCATGTTTTAGCCCGTCGTAAACCTAGGTGTGGGAGGTCTATCGACGCGTCAGAATTCTCGAGACCCTCTGTTGAATTCGCGCCGATTTGGACTTATATTTAAGGCCTAGACAAAGGCAATCCATCAATGTCAGAATGCCCCACCCACGAGTCACTCCGGCCAATCGCTGACCATTCTGGCCCTGGACTTCGCATTCTGTAATAAGAATTAGAGGAAATGAAGTAAGAATGAATATATGGCAAAGAAAGCCAGAAAACCATCGAGGGTATTAAAAGAATGAATGAAAACAAAATAAAAACTATATAGAGAGAGAGAGAAAAAAAGAATAGTCAAGGGTAAAAAATGAAGTGAAGAAAATAAACAGACAATCAAATGATGAAAAAAAGAAGGTGAGAGGAATATAGAGGTTAAGTCACAATGAAAGAGAGTAGATGGGCAGAATACAGCGCGAGAGAATAACGTAGATAGATAAATAAAACAAAAATAAATTAGGTAGACGAAAGTATATAGAAAGTGCTTTAATTGCGTGATTATTCACAGTAAATTTGGGCCTAGGTTCTTACAAAATTTCAACTTTCCTGACAGATCTCCTATTATCCCAATGTGGGATACTTAATAACAAAATTGATTATAATATAAACAGAACGAAATTGGCTAAACTAAAGGGTACCCAATAAAAAAAAAGCGGTAAATTCCGTTATAAATTTATTTAGCTATCATGATTCAAGCACAAACTGAACAATCATCGTAGATGTTCGAAATGTTTGCCTGAATGTTCAACACAAAGTTGTAAGCGTGATAACCAAGAGTAGGCAGTAGCTTTGCGGATAGCGTGAAGAGGAATTTCATTACAAGATTCACTTATGTTCCACTTCAATGATTCAATATAGACGATGTTCCGACGACGGTTTTGCAAGTGAGTTGGGAATATACTCCAGATACAGTAATCCATAACATTCAGATCTGAGCATTTAGAGAGCCACTGAGATGGACCAATTAGGGCTGGTGTATTTTCTCGAACAAATAATAATAATAATAATAATAAATTCGCCGCTTTTTATTGTGAACTCTGTACACACACAAACACACAGACACACACACACATACATACATACATACATACATACATACATATATATATATATATATATATAGTCTCCCAACGGATTGAGTCCTCTAGGTCACTGGCGTGTTTTATTAAACTTTGGATTGCGAACATATGTTTATATGTTATGTTTTGCTGTGAGGAACCCGCCCCAAAGTTTATCAAATTTTTTGATACACCCTGTTACATTATATACTATATACTATACTATATATTATATACTATATACTATACTATATATTACATACTATATACTATACTATACTATATATTATATACTATATAATATACTATACTATATATTATATACTATATAATATACTATACTATATATATTATATACTATATAATATACTATACTATATATTATATACTATATAATATACTATATATATATATATATATATATATATATATATAACGGAATTACCTTTTTTTTACTGGGTACACTATATATATATATATATATATATATATATATATATATATATATACAGTGTAAAAAGCCGTAAATTCCGTTATAAATTTATTTAGCTATCATGATTTATGCACAAACTGAACAATCTTCGTAGATGTTCGAAATGTTTGCCTGAATTTTCAACACAAAGTTGTAATCGTGATAACCAAGAGGAATTTCATTCCAAGCTTCACTTATGTTCCACTTCAATGATTCACTATCAACGATGTCACAACTACGGTTTTGCGAGTGAGTTAGGAGGATACTCCAGATATAGTAATTCATAACATTCAAGTCTGGGTTTTTAGAGGTCCAATGAGATGGACGAATTAAAGCTGGTGTATTTTCTCAAAGAATAAATTTGCCGCTTTTTTACTGACAACCCTGTATATGAACAAACACATAAAAAAATTGAATTTAAAAGTTTCTTTCTTCGTCCGCATATATAGTTAAATCAATATAAACATAACTTTGGTCCAGTATTTCTCAACTGGTACGCCCGAGTGTACTAATGCGCCCTGAAAGGTAGTCACGTCCGTCCCAACATGACAGAAGAATAATTTACGAATTATTTGCATATTTAAAAATCTTTATTTTTTAAAAAGCTACAGATAGCAAGTACATGGCTTCCATGTCTAAGCCAAGTCTTTATCATTTCGTATTTTAAACTGGATATTAAATTCTTTAATTTTTAATAGGTAGCAGATAATCCTTTCCTTTTGACTTCCTCAAGAGATTTAAATCAGTCATTATCAGCCCTTTTAACAAATAGATTCTTCCTAAGTCCCTTTAAGTGAAAACTATCCTGCTGTTACCCAAATGGTAACCATTAAAAGTAATTTTCTTCATAAATCTACTATGGTGTATGATAGAGCAAGTCTTTAAAGATTTTTATGACTAATTTCTCTTTATTAAAATTTTAAGTGCGCCACGGAGTTTTAATTATGCTACAATTGCGCCGTGAAATAAAAATGGTTGAAAAACACTGCTTTAGTCCTATAAAGTCCTAAAGGACGAAACGCGTCATACGAAAAATATTTCCACTTTGTCATTAATGTTCCTAACATAAAAAGGAAGGCAAAGAGAAATATAAGCACAGAAGAAAATATAACAGGTGGATAGGCAGACAAAAGAGAACCAAAAAATAAAATAATAATGCAATAGGCAAAGAAGTAAAATACAGTAAGATAGTAAAGAAAGAGAAAACATGATGAAAGGGTAAGAGAGACAAGAGAGAAAGGTTGATTAGTAAAAAGAGAGATAAAAAAGAAGACTGGGAGGCAGCGAGAAAAACAGGAGAGAGTAAGGTAGAGATCGGCAGAGAGGAATACAGAAAACTGAATAAGGGTAGTGAGAAAAGCAGAAAGACAATGTAATCTAGAGCAACAGAGACGAATATATAAAGAACAAGGTAGTGAGGACAGACAGATTAAGTAAGAGAGAGAGAGAGAGAGAGAGAGAGAGAGAGAGAGAGAGAGAGAGAGGAAGATACAAAGAGAATACGATATGAAGGGAGCGATAAAGACAAGCCGACAAATTTAAAAGAGGAAGATAGAAAAAAGAATAAAAGAGGGAGGTTGGGAAAAAAGACAGAGGAAGATAGAAAAAGAACAAAGAACAAGACAATGAGGAGGATAGACAGATAGAGTAAGGTAGATGGAGAGAGAGGAAGATACAAAGAGAATAAGGGAGGAGGCACTGAGAAAGATAGACCGACAAATTTAGATCGGAAAAGAGGAAGATAGAAAAATGAATAAAAGTGGGAGGTCGGGAAAAAAACGGAAAGACAAAAAAGGTAGATAGGAAGATAGAAAATGATAGAAAAAGAAGTTAGTGTTTAGAATAGACAGTGAGAAAGACGAGCAGGCAAAGTTAGATCGGCAGAGAAGACGCTAGAAAATAAACAAGGCAATGAGAGGAACAGACAAAGTAGATCGATAGAGAGAAAAATAAAAAGAGAAGATACAAAAAGAATAAGGGGAAGACAGTGAGAAAGAAAAATCGAGAGAAAGATATAAAGAGAATAAGGTTGGGAGGGGTAAGTAAGAAAGACAGGCAGGCAAATGTAGATCGGCAAAGAGGAAGAATAAAAGAAGTGGGTGGGGTAGTGAAAAAAAATCAAG